TAATATTACACTGAACCCAGACATGTAAGTGGGAGCTAATAGGGTAGATTGTTTAAGTGGCAGGCCAGAGACAGCCTTCCTTTGTTATCATCCTCTGTCAATTCTGTGGCTCATTCCCGCCTGTGACTGACAGCTCCTATGTACTCCTCTTCATCCACAACATCAATTAGGAGAGGCAGTGATGTTACTCAGATTAAACCATCCAATAAAGCAACCGTTCTTGGCTGAGGGTAATAGATTTTGTGCCCACCCCTTACCTCCCGCCCCCCGGTGACATTTGGAAAAGTCTAGAGACATGTTGTCACAACTGGGGCGGGGGGTCCTGGTCAGGGATGCTGCTCAACATCCTCCAGTGCACAGCACTACCCAGTCCCAAATGTGAGTGGTATCGCTGCTGAAACCCTGACCTGCAGGGAGCAAGGGGAGGGGAGAAAGGGAGCAGCGGGTGGGTGAACAGGGACACGTGGCCTTTCCCCCACTACGCTGGTTCTTGGTGGGTTCAGCTCAGGTTACCAGATCCAGACTGTCAGACCCACAGTGAGAGTCTAAACCAAGGTGGGGAACCCTTTTTCTGCCAGGGGCCATTTGGATATGTACTAGTATAACACCATTTTCGGGCCATGCAAAATTATCAGTATGGGGCGCGGCTACAGTGTTTTGGCCAGGTTCAAGCCTCGGACTAATGAAAGGACAGGGTCCTCTCATTGCCACGTGGAAGTCCCAGCTGGAGGGCAGGGCCCTCCCAGCACAATTATAGCCAACGGCTGTGGTTGTAAGCTTGAACCTATGGTCTGAACACGTGGCCCCACGTGCCTTGTGATAGAGTTAGGTGCATATAGTTGAGTGAGGTTGAAACTCACGAGAATGCTGTGAACAACTTGATCAGACCCCTACTTTGCCTCGTGGCATCTGCTATAAAATAAAGACACGGCTTGTGGGCGCTGGCGCTGTCTCCTCAGCAGGGAGCAGCGTCCCACGGAGACCCAGCTTTCATTCTCTTGTCTGTCTTTTCTCAATCTTTTCACCCCCCCACTCAGGATCACCTTTGGCCGTAACATATCAGCTTAGGAATTAGCCTGCTATGTTTGGTCAAACATTTCATTAACTCACCCCGAATGCCTTGGCAGGGCCGACCCGTGATTTCTCAGGCCTCACTGGGCCCTCGGGCAGGACGGTCCCCACTGCTGGTCTAAGGGACAGTCTCTCCTGTCCGTGGGCTCTTAGTGCCACCCCCATAGAAGCCGAGCTCCCACTCCCTCCAACCTGAGGAACTAGGGGCTGAGTTCCTGAAAGAGCTGCTCTGGAAACAGAACGTCCAAGGTTTTAAGAAATCTGGGCAGAAAGAAGCAATGCTTGCCTTTTTCCCACATTAGCAAATACACTACCCGTTCCTTTCCATAATGTGCTCTCTGTTTAATACCAGTTTCTCTTCTAAGCACCAGGCCCCACATTCATTCCTGTAACTGGGCAACATGTTTCTAAGGTAAGGAGGGCTTTGGGGTAAAAGAAGGGAAAGTCTGAGAAGCAACATAAGATGGAAAATTGTTCAGTAAACAAGTAGGACAGAATGCTGACATGACTCGATTTGTCTCAGCCACGGCCACCAGACACCGTGCAGCCAGCAGACTGGGTGCACATGGCTTGTTAACCATTTCTCAGGCGTTGCAAATGAAATACCATACTTTTGTTATTTTACTGTGGTGTTTTACTTTTTGGTTGTACCGAAGTTGTGTATTAAATATAATCATGTTCTTTTTAGTATTATTATTATTTTTATTTTTAAAGTGTACAGCTACCTGGGGCCGCAACATGCGAACAATGGGAAAGCAGTTTTTCTGTAACAAAGCGAACCGTGTGTCTCTCTCGTGACACTGACGAGACTCAGGTGGAACTGGCCCCTCTGAGCCTGCCCTACCAACCAGATTCCGTGAATACGAAATTCGAAAACAGCTGGACACCAATTCCTTTCTGTGAGCTCTTGGTGACGGTTCCTTTTTTGGCTGTGCTACACTCTTCAAATCCTGCACACTCACTGGGCCCTCAACAGAGATCCACTCAGCCACCCTTCACTGCCGCGTCAGCGACTTGCTGACGGCTTTGAGGGAGAGTTCTGGCATCCGGAGGAATGACCTTATTTTCCACAGTGAGAAAGTCCCTAGTTAACGTGGGAATACACACATGTAAATCATTTGAAAAAACTTTCCGTTTGCCATAGAAGCTCTTCCCCTTCACTTTGTTAGGTTCATACTTTCTACTTGGTATCTAACCAACCTACCAAATGCAGACTAGAATTATTCAAAGGGATCGCAGGCATCACCATCCTTCGAAAGGCAACCTTACATTCATATGAATGTCAGCATCCTCCCCTTTACGGGACAATCTGAGCATATTCAACACGGTATTTAAATCGAAATGTTTTCTATGAACAACGTCTCAGGTAAAGCCAATGGGACTGTATGTTCAAAGTCAAGGTATAGCTGGGTAATAATTGTACTGTGTTGAACCATAGACTAGAAAGTGAATCAACGATTTTTTCCATGTTAGCACTTGCTGAGAAAGCAATAGGTTTCGGTCTGTGAATGAAAAAAAAAAAATGCATCAGCAATCCTGGCGTGGGAGAGGCCAGACTGCTGCTTCCTTCTCAGAAGTCAGGGAGTACCGGCCAGCGACCCCTCTGGGATCTTGTGGTCCACATCTCTGACTTACTTTACATAACATGACAAGCTATGTAACGGCTGTCGCCACTACTAATAGTGACTGTGGTCACCGAGCCATGATCATAGTACTAAGGAGGCCCACTTGGTTCTGAGAGTATCAACTCCGCCAGGTTCTCACCCTGAAGACGGCTACCAGATACATTTTCTGCAATGACCGGAGGTGGGGTGGGGTGCCCTAACTGTTCAGAAGTTTACCAAAGGCCTACTGTTTACCAGGTTCGGGGAGACAGAGTCCCTGTGTATTAAATATAATCATGTTTTTAGTGTTACTATTATTAGGAGGAGATAGACATGTCATCCAATACTTACTACTTTTTGCTCAAAAACTTTAAATATTAAACAAATTCACATTTTACCTCCACTTCCTCCCTCTAGCTTATCCTATTGTCAGTGATGCTGTATCATCCTGCAGAAATCAGATTATGGGGCTAAAACGTGGGGAAGGGGGGCCCAGGTGGAGATTGGAGGGTGGGGGCTGTCGTTATTGTACAGCCTTAAGGTTGCTAAAGCTCGTTGTCTTGATCTTTAAGGACTTGAAGGGAGAGCTGCAGTATGTTGTTGTCTGAAACTAAAAAGCATAATGGACACGAGGAAATGAAATATATGAAAATACTTAAACTTACTCCCCCACAGTAATGATACTGAATCACTCTTTATAAAGCATGCTTTCCTATTATTAATCTTTATTTTTCCCAGAAAGAACAATGGGTTATGATGAGTTACCAACTCTTTCGTGTTTATAGGGCCTGGTATTAGGAAAAATGTGTTTTCATGTGAAATTACCCTAAACCCCAGGGAAACACATCCAAATAAAGTATGGTTCGTGTTTCTCCAACATTCTGACATTGACTTTGACTCCTGATGAACACAATGAAATAAAAAATATGAAAATACTTTATAAACTGCAACATCAGGCAATATCAAAACAAAAACATTTAAAAATATACCCTTAAGGGACTATTTGTTCCTTCCCACCTCAGCTGCACCACAGCCCAGTAATTATTCCAAAAACTTTCTTTCTAGAAAGGCTAGATGGGCTAAATAGACTATCCCTGAAACTACCTGATACCAAGAAATGAAGGTGTTGACTGAATCACCCACGATTAATCTTCAAGATGTTTCCTTTCCAGATAAATGTTTATTAGGTATAAAATAAGCATTACATGTTTATTAGTAGTATCATATTTCTTATATGAATCAGCGATTCAAAATGTCCTAGCTCAAGCAGTACTAATAAAGCCCTCACTGGAAGTTTCAAAATTCCCTGTGGTCTTTGATTTTCGGGATGCCTGGATTCTCTATAATAGTATTTTTTCAAAAGGAACTGCATATTTTATATATTCTACAAGGGGATGTCACCCATGACTCTTCAGTTAAATATTCATTTTGTCAACCAAATAAACCACCTATTTCAAAAGGCTGCCTGTAATTGGTTTCATTATTTCATACATTACCTACACAGGAAAGCAATTTTGTAAGCAGAAATAGATAACCTACACAAACTGGCAAGCTTTCAAACTACTAAAGGGCGGCAAGGCTTAAGAATAAGTATAGTAATAGAAAATGTCACTTTTTATGGAAAAGTTTTACTTTATTTTGTAAAAAATAATGTTTTGAATAGTTACTTTACTCTTTCAAAACAATGCAACCACAAGAAGCACTGAGGAGAAAGTACCCTGCTTTTATGAACTTGTTGTTAACACACCGATGGCAGGCACACTGCTCACTGAAGCAGCCATATGTGACCCAATTGCAAGACACAACATGTAGGAGTAAACACACAAGACTGAACAGCTGTGAAAAATAGAGGATTAATCAAAAGATTCTGCTTAAAAACATTAAATTCAAGTTATGTGGATCTTTTATGCATAAAGATCATACTGTGTCATCAGAATGACTCTTCAATGGTCAGTTCTGGAAAACAAAACTTAACTTTAGTTAGAAAGTTAAACTGTTAACTTCTCTTTTTCAAAGCATTTTCAAAAACTATGCTATGTAGTTTTTATTCCAAGAAGCCTTCTTGTGATGTACAAATACATCTGCTAATGGAAAAAAGTAAAAAAAGCCAACCTAGGTCCTGGCTGGGTAGCTAGGTTGGTTAGAGCGTTGTCCCTATACGTCAAGGTTGCGGGTTTGATCCCATCAGGGCACATACAGGAATAACTAATGAATGCATAAATAAGTGGAACAACGAATTTAACGTGTGTGTGTGTGTGTGTGTGTGTGTGTATGTGTGTGTGTGTGTCTAAATTAAAAAAGGAAATAAATAAAAAGAAAAGCCAATCTGGAAAAGAAAACAGTTTAATTAAATGAACGTCAAAGTGTGGTCTCTATCTTCTGCCCCTCCTCATCTTTCTTCTCATGTCGCCTTTGAGATTGAGAGTAACTTGGGGCAAGTTCCCCTGATCTGCGTTCTCTCCGCCTCTCTGGGCTGTGCTACCACCAGGGAGCCCTGCAGCACCCTCGCTGGTCCCAGGCAGGAGGACCTCAGCCAGACTCACTCCTACCCCTGGGCTGCTATGACAAACATTACAAAGTGCCTACAGCCTACAATTATTTCAGCAACAAAGTAAACTTCTCTAGTGATGATGCTGTACTGGTTTGTCGCCCTAATACCAACCAACCATTAAAAAAACATTAAAAACCGGGAATTCAAACTGCCTGTAGACAAGTAATCATTTAAAAGTTGGGAAAATGAGAAGGAACGATAGTCCCAACCACCTAAAGTCTCCCCTCCTCCACTCTTATGTCGCAATTTCCTTTCCCCGTAATTATCCTGAATGCAAACACGACGCTGTCACCTCTACTGCATCGACAGTGTCACTTGTGTGCATCACCGGGTGGCAGCCCTGGGAGGCCAACAGGGCGTCTGGAGCCCAGCGCTCCCTTCAATCGGTCTTGTCCTGCCTGTTCTCAGTCCGCACATCCAAGGTGGGCGCTTGGGGTGGCAGGGCCCCCGCGGGGCTCGCTGCTGGGCAGGTGGGCGGGGGAGGCCCCGTGGCACACAGTGGAGTCCGCTTCAGCTTTATCACCCGGGGTGGGGTGGCCTTCTTGTCGCACAGCAGAACCTTGGCTGGAGGGGGCGATGTGGCCCCATTTTCAGGACCCCCGGGCCCATGCGATGGGGAGTGCCCAGGCACCTCCGTGCCCACCAGGGACAGGGCCTTAGACGGTGCAGAGTGCTGAGCTGGCATTCCGCCTGGAGACAGGGATACCCGGACTGAAGCCGAGTTCTTGACCTTGATTTGGGTGCTGGTGGAAGGGCCCGAAAACCTGACAGGTTTAGGACCAGCCTTACAGTTCACGCCTTCCTCCCCTTCATCCAACGCCATCAGCCTCCTGCAAACACAGAAGCATGCCCGTCAGCACTTACATGGTCAGTAGCTAATGAAACCAGCTCCAAAATTCGCCTCTAAGGTGAACAAAAAGGTTTCCATCAAGAATGTGAGCCAAGAGATCGATGCGTATCAATCGACCCCATTTCTCATCTCCCGCCATGGTCAGTACATACATCGGCAAGTTTATAAGAGATTGTTTCACCTTGAATAGGAACCCTTTTAAAATCACATACAATACGAACAAGCTGAAATGTGGAAAGAGATGTTATGTGAGAATTATACAACATACCGCTCTGTTCCCAAGAACCCTGATGCGATCCAGGGGCAACCAGAAACATCCTGAGTTGTTTTTCCCAGGTTACTGAGGAAGAGCGCTTCCAGGCCACTAGACTCCAGACCAAGGTTTCTCAGTCTTGGCACTACTGTCACTTTGGGCCGGATAGTTCTTTGCTATGGGGGCTGCCCCATGCATTCTAGAACGTTTAATGGCAACCCTGGCTTCTACCCACTCGATGACAGTAGCATTGGGTACGGTCTTTTTTTTTTTTTAGTTTTATTCATTTCAAACGCCCACGGGCCGTTTGCCCACGGCTGCTCCACCCCTGGGGGACAAAATCACTCCCAGCTGAGAACCGCTGCTCACACTGAAATGATGTTTGCTAACTATAGGTTCAATGGGCAAAACAAATAATGATAACAAAACGAGAGCCTTTAGGAAAATAATCTGTTTTAACAAGAGATCATTAATTACTAAACACTGAATAAACTCGGCATTTCTGAGAAGGATCCAGAGGGCACAAGTCAGAGAGCATCTGGAATCCCACAGGAGCTTTGAATCAAGTTCTAGAGCAGAAATCCAGAAATCAGAACTTCTGAAAGCCATGAATAATTCCCAGACGATGAAAAAGAAAAATGGTTTTTAAATGCATTTAAAGCACAGTGAACGACACAGATGTGGAGTGAGTTTAATGCTAATAATTTTAAAGAACACAAGAAAGTACCACTAACTTAAAATGCTATTTGTGGCATTGAGAAGGAGAAAGGAATTCAGAATAAGTCACAGGAAATTCCAAATATTAAATCTAATAAATACATTTTTTGACTATTACCAATAAAGCCTGGATTTCACTTCTGTGCAGAAAACTACTTACCACAGCATTCCCACTGTCTCCACTAGTATCATTAAAATCACACTCTCCCCAAAAGAACATATTCTAACTATTATTTGCACCTTTTACATAGTTTTGGTAAATTTGCATTTATCCAGATTTATATTTTGGTGATAAGGCAGAATATTCGTCTATGTGATTAATAGGCTTTTATTTTAGTAAGGTCAAGAACTGTTATTTATTTCCCCAATAAAGAAAAACTATAGGTCACAGATTAAAAAACAAACATCAACAGAGCAGAGTTCACCTCTTCCGAATCGGGGCCATGTGGCGCAGGCTCCCCAGCAAAGGCCGCTCCTCCAGGGTCCAGCATTCTATCAGCTCGTGCGGCACCCGCCAGTAGCTGACGCCTGGGAGAGAAAGGCATCGTTAAGAGAACCTCTGTCCACTGCACACGGGGCAGGAGCACTGTCTCCTAGAAGAAGAGCCAGGGAGAGCGTCCGAGCTTCATGCCCCATTTCTTTCCCTCCTAAGAAATCAATTATTTGCTTAAATTTCCTTTTAGTTTACTATAGTTTCATTTTTCATTCATAAATCTACCTGGGCTTATTTTGATAAATAATGTGAGGTCAAAGATGTTTGTCTCTCAAACATACTTGTCAATTACATGTTAAATAACCTATCATTTTTTTCACTGATATTTAGTCAGTCAACTCTGTGACTTTCTTATTACATAATATTTGTATTCTTATAACTTTATTGGGGTTTACTCTTGCTCTCTGCATCTATTCTTACACCAGGAACACATGGTTTTTTATTATTATCTACAGCATGTTTTGTTTTTGCTTTTTTAAATATGTTTTTATTGATTTCTGAGAGAAGAAGGGAGAGGGAGAGATGGAAACATCAATGATGAGAAAGAATCATCGATCAGCTGCCTCCTGCACGCCCCCCACTGGGGACTGAGCCCACAACCTGGGCATGTGCCCAGACCAGGAATCAAACTGGGGACCTCTTGATTCATGGATCAACATTCAACTGCTGAGCCACACCAGCTGGGCTACACCTTGTTTTACTATCAAACAGAGTTAGACTCATCCCTCTAATAACCTCTACTTCAAAAATGTTCTTGGCTATTTTTCGTTTATTCTTTCAAAGGAATTTTAGAATCATTTCAAGATTCCCAAAGAGTCCTATCGATATTTTGGTAGTAATTGTGTTAAACTTACCATATAATCTCAGAACTGACATCTTTATAATATTCAGATTTCCCTTTCAGGACCATGGCATGTCTCACCATAGCCTTCATGTCTTCATTTATATGGATGGATGGATGGATGGATGGCTAAATACATTTTAGCAGTTTTCTTCATAAAACACTCAAGCATTTCTTGGTAGGGCAGTCCTAGTTATTTTTGTTTTATTTATTGCTATAGTGAATGGGATTTCCCCTATAATTTCTAATTAATTTATCATAAATGAGCTGCTCTTTGTTAACATATATGTATACAGCTAATAATATATTGTACACAACATATAAAATACGACTACTAAACTCATTTAAAATACCATTAGTAGATTCTTCTGAGTTTTCTAGAAATACATATTGTTCACAAATAACCATAAATGTCTTCTTCCTTCCAACTGGCCTTTCTCTTACTTCTGCTTCCTGCTTAGGGCTTTCCACAGACCTTCTAGAACTTTTTCAATAACAGTGATGCTCTCCTACACACTTTCTAAAAAGTTAAAGGCAGTTGCACGCTTTGTTAAAGTCAGGGATCGCAGCTCTCTGCTCCAGCTTCCTAAGTCAGCAGAGAGCCTCCTGGGCAGCCTGCCAGTCCAGGGCACAGAAGGAGACAGGACACCATGGGTTTGTTCTCAATTATAAGTCCAAGTGTCTCAAAGTCAGTTAAATCGACAAGAATAAGCTAAAAGAGAATAGCACTCCTTTCATTCTACTTTATCCTACCTGCTAGAGGGGTATGAAAAGAAAAGAAAAAGGAGGGAAAGTGAGGGAGGCAAAGATGAGGAAAGAAGAGGTTGGTATTGGCACCCCACCTAAAGGAGGAACAGCTGATGTAGTTTTTATTTATTTTTATTTTTAAAATATATTTTATTGATTTTTTACAGAGAGGAAGGGAGAGGGATAAAGACTTAGAAACATCGATGAGAGAGAAACATCGATCAGCTGCCTCCTGCACATCTCCCACGGGGGATGTGCCCGCAACCCCGGCACATGCCCTTGACCGGAATCGAACCTGGGACCCCTCAGTTTACAGGCCGACGCTCTAACCACTGAGCCAAACTGGTTTTGGCCTTTTTATTCCATTTTATAATGACCTGCAATCTCTGTTTCTATCCGCTTTTAAGATCATTTGAGGACTAAGATGTGTGCTATTTATCTTTGGACCCATTTTTAGGATTTAGTATAATGGTTGCATTTCACACTCAATAAATGCTTACTAATTAGGGGGGGGGAACATCTTGGGCATAGAACAGTTAATCATCTGTGATCCTTAAGCAAGTGGCATGGCCTCTCTGAGATTCAGGTTCCTCACCAATAACATGATAAAGAGCATAGGACGTTGTTTTAGGATTAAATAGCATGATTATTATCAATCCTATATAATAAAGGGGTAATATGCAAATTGACCCTAACGGCAGAAGAACCGCTCTGCCAGTCACTATGAGGTACACTGACCACCTCTTGCTCCGTTTCCCTGGCCGGCAGGCTCCCATCGCCCAATGGCAAATGGGGACCTGAGGGTGGGTGGCAGGGGACATGGGCGGCACCAGACCAAGGCCCCGCCACACACAGAGGGCGACCTGTGGCAGGGGTGGGGCCGACGAGCAGGAGGGAATGGCTGACCTCTTGGTCCCTCCCCCTGGCCAGCAGGCTCCGATTGCCCGATGAGGAATGGGGAACCGGGGGTGGGTGGTGGCGGGGGGTGGGGCTGGCTGTGGGAAACCGGGGAAAATGGCCCTGATCACAGGCCAGGCCTAGGGACCGTACCTACACACGAATTTCATGTGCCGGGCCTTTAGTTCTCATATAAGCTTGGTAAAAATGGCCAAATTTCAAAGTGTGTATTTAAAGATTATTTTAATTGTTTGATAAGGGCTCTTTAGACATCTTACCAGCATTATTTTCATTTCCTGTCTCTTTTTTTTATTATACATTTTATGCTTAACTTAGAGATACTTCCTAGGACAATGCTAGGTACATAGTAGGTGCTAAGTAACCTCTTGTTTAATTGAACTAAATAAGCATAATTAACAGAAGCATATTTTAGGTTACTGAATTATAAACTATTAATCATATCTAGCAACTCACGAGGTTTAAAGATTTGCAACTAAATTATCTCAATGTTACCATGAAATGACAAATACCTGGACCCACACAAAAAATACTTTTTCAAAAAAAGAAATGCATCTCAGCTCACTTTGTCTTACTAAGGACACGCCTCCTTCTGCCATGAAATAAAAGAACTGGACTGTACCTTTTCCTTCCCAGGCATCAAAGGCATCCATCATTTTCTTCAGTTCTGCTGCTGAGTAATAGCTCCAGATGTACTGAACATTATTGCCCGCCTCTCTAGAAAGATTGCAAAAGGTAATGAAAATATACCACCTAGGTATGAATGTGTGTGTGTGTGTGTGTGTGTGTGTGTGTGTGTGTACAGCTAACAGACAGTAAGTGCTTGTTCGTTAAGGAAAAGGTTTGTTCTGTGACCGTTAAGCACACATATAATTCTATATACTATATGAGTATTATATACTATATGAATATACTAACCTACATTTGATCTCTTTTTACAGTAGTAAAATATTTGTTAATTTTACTATATATAGACCGTGCAGACAAATCAACAAGTCTTTAAAATAGCTTTTCTAAAAATCACCAACTCCAGTAACGTTAGAAAAGACTCAACTTTGACCAAAACTTTATTAAATAACAGTGATGCTCCACTACATGCTTTCTAAAAAGTTAAGAGCAGTTGCACGCTTTGGACTTGCCTAGCCTTTGCCAGGCAGTTATAAGTCTCCTATAGAAACATCTCTGCCCGTAAAGAATTCAGAAAATGGTGACATGTTTAACCATCTAAAAACAAACTCATGTGGCCATGCATTTGTCACTAATATGTGCCCTAATTCAATATCCCAGAGAACTTTTTCTAAAAATTGCTAAGTGGATTGACCAGTGTAAATAAGATTACAGGGAAAATAGTAAGAGAATAACCCTTAGAAATTGAACATATTCAAGTCATAGAATTCTGAGGCTGGGAGGGACCAGGAAAGTCTCTCGTCATTTCTCAGGGCAGGACACCAATGCACGGGCCAGTCCGGGCCACTCAGTGGGCCTACCGGCTCCTTAGCCAGGGCTTCTGCCCCCAGGCTATGGTTGAGACACCCAGGCACGTGGCTTTTCTTTTCTTTCTTCCTTTTCTTTTTTTATAAAGTCTCACAGGGAATTCTGATGTCCACTTCCAGTTGAGAACCACAGTACTAGACCACATAGATAGCCCATAGCTTCTTTGTGAAACGGTCTTAATTATAACTTCTGTCTCGGCAGCCCAGAAGGCTCACTGTGCCTGTTGAGAGGGGCTGATGGTCTTTTCTGGTCAACCACATATTCCATTCAGTAACACCTCTTAGGAAAGATCAAGACTTAATTTTGTTCCATTTTCATTTTTAAATATGGACATACCTTTTAAAAATGCTTTTACTGTGAATTCTTCCTCCGAGCTGCTTATCAATAGCATCTGTTCCGTCCGTTTTTGTGGCATATACACCAATAATTCTACTCTCACAGCTTGCACCGGATGTGTTAAGATAGTGGAGAACCCAAACTGTTGGTTTGTTGCAAACTAAACCATATGAATCACAGAAGTCTGTTAAAGCCTGGAGAAAAAAAAAAGAAAATTTGAATTTAATTCTGGAAAGTAATTTTTTAATGTAAAAAATTAATTTGTTGTTATTTTCATGTAAGGCTGCAATTTCAGTTGGTCATAAGGCAAAAAAAAAAAAAAAAAAAAAAGATATTCCTAGTCTTTATGCCTTTAAGAACCAAACATGCATGGGCTGAACTTGGAGTGAGGGGCAAATCACCAAAAAAAGCATCACCCAAAAACCCAACAGCTTCTCATCTAGAGAACCCTTTTCCTGATGGAAATTACATTTTATTCCTCCTTCTTTAACCTCACTACCAGCATCACTTTTAATTTTTAAATCTTCACATAATAACTAAAACTAGACCTCTTTACTTCTCCCTTTAATTTCCCCCAAACTTTCCACTTGACTCAATCTTCCTTTTATCTCCTACTGACTCTCCCATGATTGATGCTTATTTTTAAATCCAAATCCAATCATGGATTAAGTGGATTTTAACTTGCTCCTTTGCACTGAAAGGTACGAATATATGAACTCAAAAACAGACTGTCTGAACTCACTTGGCACTTACCCACCTGTTCATTCATTCGCTTGAATATTAAGTAGCTACTATGTGCTGAGCACTGTCTAAGGTCCTGGAGATATAATGTTGAGCAAGACAGGGTCCTAGCCCTCCTAGAGTCTATGGCTGATGCAGAAGACAGACATTAAACAAGCCAGCAGCACACAATGTGGTAAGTGCCACTAGGTGAGCCTAGGCGGTGCCGAGGGGCACAGAGCAGGAAGGCTTCGCCCATCAGGGTGGCAAGGGCCTTCCCGGGAGAAACGGCATCATTATTGCTGTGAGCGCCCTGAGGACAAGCACTTTTATCTGCTATATGCCAAGTGCCTGAAACACGGCCTGACACAAAGGAGATGCTTAATATGTACTGACTCAGTGAATGAAAATAGGACCCTGACATGTCTTGCATTTCCATTTAATGTTGCTATCTAACTCCTGGTATTGGTTTTTAACTTTACTTGCACATCTATGAGAATTCCCAACTATATTATAAACTGTTCAAGGGCAAGCACCAAATGTTCTATTTCTTTCTGTCCCACACTATCTCTAGAACAGTGCTCCCTATGCCTAAAACATTTGAAATAAATGTGTTGGTGAGCAGAATGAATGTATGCATACTATGTCCTTTTTGCATACAAACCAGGAACAAAAGACTACAGAGTTGGGACTTCAAAATGAATGTTAACCCACCCCAACCTTCTAGTCAAGTTTTTTTAGGCCCATTCTGCAAATGTGTCAAAAAGCATCAAAAGACTATCTAACAACTCAATTTATAAAGAACTTCAGTAGCAGAACCCACACAATCATGCAAAATCCTGAAGGGGGTCTGGAACCAAATGAATGTTCTCTATGCTGCCCTCCTAATAGCCATAGCATCAGATTGCTGTCGATATCCAAACCAAAGATTTCATACTAACTCAAATCCATTTTCACTATTAACAATTATCTAGGTAAAAGACCTTTCTTAGATGTCCAAATGTGCTAATTAATAGAAACATAATATTTACCAATAAAGCAAAAACAGATAATTAAGTAATAAAGATCTTTAAAATGTGATTTAAAATAGAAGCATCTTTAAAAAAATTTACTGATCTCAAAGTGAATTAATCAAACTGATGTTCTAACTTAGTAACAAACTTTATATTCACTAAATCGGGTAAGAAATTTTATACAATCTTTTATATATTATGACCATTTTTTAAAAGACAACATTTCAGAAAACAAAATAATACCACCATACCCTCACTACTACAGTATTGCTCTTAATTCAAAAAAGACCTTCAAGAGAAGAAGAGTTCTATAAAATAGCCATCAAAAAGTGCTACATCTTCAATGAAAAATAAAAGCCCCACAAACCTTTGAGTGATGTAATGCATCACTAGAATTTTGGCCTTAAAAAATGACTAGTAGTCATTAAGAAATGTGTCTTCAAAATTATAAAAAAGTAAAACCGCCTCATGTTGGGTTTATGTGACAGCACAGGCTATGCAAAACAACACACATCGCTTTGTGCAGAATAAATAGAGATATGTATATATATGTGTGTGTACATATATATATGTTAAAACTTAAGAAAATGCCAAGACCTTTTTAAGTTCTATATTTGACCTTAAAGAATATGTCTCCATTTCATTGGCCAAGTGGTCAGACAGGCTGTACGGATAGGGGATGCCAAAGTAATCCGCCTCTTCCTGTAGAGCGACTCGGGTTTGCTCGTCTGTGGGGATGTGAACTTCTCCATGGAGATAATCCAAAAGGTATTTAAACAGATGTCCATCGCGGTCAATAACACAAGCCCCTAGAAAAGATTCAGTTCCAAAGTCATTGCACAGATACATATGACCATGGACAACATTTCCACATGTCAAACCAAGGTCAGATGGAGGTAGACATGTCTCTCACAAGAAAGTTCCCGTCTGGTGAACAAATAGGGTTAGCCAAATGTGGTGATCCTCTGCACTCTCACCCTCCAAGTAGGAAAATGCATGCTCTGAGCTCCATTTGGAATCTTGGGTGCAATGACCATAATCCCACTGAAGCCCCTGCAAAAGCTGTGGAAACCTCAGACTGCTGGCAGAAAGGGAAACTTACCCCTAACTTCAGGCCACTTGACTCAATCTTTCAGAAAGACCTGTGAGTTTCTCTCTGATGAGGGCTGGCAGGGGCCTGTTACTATGTCTAGTGTTTGTGTTGATCTGCAGTGCTGACATATAAACCCAGGGTTCCCAGCTCCAGCCTTCCATGTGTTTGGATTTATCAGATTAGTCCCTTTGTACTGTGAAAATCTAAACTTTAAAAAGCGAATGTGCCCGGCTGGCATGGCTCAGGAGTTGAACGTCAACCTATGAACCAGGAGATCACAGTTCGTTCCCTATCAGCACACATGCCCAGGTTGTGGGTTCAATCCCCAGTACGGGGCGTGCAGGAGGCTGCCGATCAATGATTCTCATCATGATGCTTCTATCATTGATGCTCTCTCTCCCTCTCCCTTCCTCTCTGAAATCAATAAAATAAAATAAAAAATAAAATAAAAAAACAAATGCTATGCTGGTACTACTTTATGATAAAAGGCTTTTCTTGGGCAATTAGCAGAATTTTTAAAAAAAACAACAGTTCTGTGAGTTACTCAGTCATTCCTTTTCTCCCTTGATTAGTTTAGAAAAGAAGGGATTAAGAAGGCAAAACTTGGGGACAGAAAAAAACCTCCATCTCTGCTATCATCTTCCACCAGCAACCTTTCTGTCCAGATGGACATCAAGCCCTGGGCCATCGGTGACTCTCCCAGGCTTTCCACTGCCATTCCGCTGGCAAAGCCATCTCTCTGACCCAGGGGTGACTCACAGCCCCCCATGCCCAAGACCCCACAAGCCCTCTCTTCTAGCAAAGAAGCAAGAATGGGTACCAGGAGCCCTGGAACCTCCAAGACATGCAAATTCCAGCTGCACCAGGTGACAAGTTTAACATTAACTCTGCACTAACAATGACGGCCCTGTCAGCTATGAGGGCAACTGCTTTTTCCAGAAATACATATTTTTTAACTTGAAAAACACAGAGAGAAGCTAATATTTTTAATCGGCCTCAATACCTTTACCCATGGAGTTTCATGAATGTAACAACTTCAAAAATATAATTCCCGTAAATCACACACTGATTTGCCTTCACACACTCTCACTGTTTTGTCAACTTTCAGCGAAAGCATCACAGATCTTAGAAACTGGTGTTTAATTTCTCCAAGTATTTAATAAGTCTCCATACAGTCCTAATGAGCTCACTAATTAGTAAACTAATCTAATCTATTTCATTGTAATTAGGAAAATCAAAGGGAATTTAAGCTAGACTCCTATTTTAATGAATATGCATGATCATGCTTACAGATTGTAGATATTTACCTGACTCATCTGTTTTTAGAGGAAAACGACCACTGAACATGGAAGCCAACATGGAGTCTTTAAATCGGCACAAGGACTCTCGCCTGGCTGTGTAAATACAGCCACCCACGTTCAGTCGGAGAATGTCTAACATCTCTTCTTCCTTGTGATCTTCCATTGCTCCCGCCGACACCTGAATTTGTGCCTTGAAATACTTTCAGAAACTGCCAACAATGGGGGTCCCGGTCCCCTCTGTAAAAACAAAGGACAATCACCACTGACATTTTCAACAATAGATAATAAGATAAATACATTTTACTGTGATTTCAAATAAATTCCTCAGCACTGGCAATACTGAATTGAAGGATTTTATACACTATGAAAAAAGTCTGACATATGCTGAGAATCTGGAAAACTCGGGCTCAAAGGACCTGTAAGTAATAATAAACTATGACCAATGAAATCATAGCTGTGGAGGTGACTGTTTAAAGAATTAAACAGCATAATGCATTGTGTGTCATATAGAAAACAAGGGCGAGGTGTGCTTCTGAGCCTCAATATTCACATATCTTTTTAAAGTACAGTAAGTCTGAGGGGGGCTGTCTGGACTGCAGAGGACGCAGTGGGCATGGGATGAGGCTGCAAGGCTCTACCTCGCACTAGCTCGGGGGCCTCAGGCAATACTGGTCGTCCCCTGCCTGTGTCCTCATCTATAGAATGGAGGTAGGGACGGTGCCTACCTCAAAGGATTATCAGAGGAATAAGTGACAAAACATATGAAAAGCATATAGAACAGTCTCTGGCTCAATGTTAGTACTTAATAAATGATAAATATTACCTATGATGATATACATTTTACCATAAGGGGTATACTAGGGACTTGATGTTGGCTCTGCAGACTTAAGGAAACAAAAGGACAGAAATGATTAACAATAGTAATTGTAATTCTTAAATTGTGTAACTAAGGAAGATATAATTTGTCAACTGAGATCGGAATTCCATGTCTGCCAGTAGCTAGACTGGTCCAGAAGAACAAATAGCATCTCCAAATCATCTGACTTCTGCCCGGTTGGCATGGCTCAGTGGTTGAGCATCAACCTATGAACCAGAGGTCACGGTTTGATCCCAGTCAGGGCCTATGCCCGGGTTGCAGGCTCCATCCCCAGTGTGGGGCGTGCAGGAGGCAACTGATCAATGAGTCTTGCTCATCATTGATGTTTCTCTCTCTCTCGCCCTCTCCCGTCTTCTCTGAAATCAATAAAAATATATTTTAAAAAATAAATCACCTGACTTCTGCACTCTGAAATGGCTGAAGCTTTATGCACGTGCCATGGCAAGGGTAACATGGCTGCCCAGAGGCTTGGCTACATCCATGGCAATTCACTTTACCACGTGCTCAACTAAGACCCTTTCGTGGATGTTCCAGTGTATCCACTCTCCCATGAAAGGGGGGACAGGAGACAACCATGTGTGTCGAACACGGTCAGTGACAGAAGCTATCACGGACCAATGGTCCAGCCTTCAAAACCCACCCATGGATGTGACTTCTTGCACTACCTACAGGTCCTGGGAGCAGCCCCCCAATGACCCGGGTGAGAGAACCACCTGGGAGGCCTGGCAAGGTGCCTGGGATGGAGCTGTTCTTGCTGCTGGTTACCAGCTCCCTGGAAGCCCATCTCTTCTTCAAAGCCCCAGGCAAACCTCACTGCCTGCACTACCTTCCCAATCACCCCCCAAGTGAGAGCCGGTGCACAGTTCTCCAGATGAACTGTGCTCCTCTGTCTACATTTCACCTCGCTTGCTTAATCCCTAGTTTGGGGGCCTCTACGCCCCTAGAAGGCAGGGCCTGTGTCGCTCTTACTAATTCCCTTTTACTGAGTGCGTACTGTGTGCCAGCCCCTGCGGGCGCCGCCGGCAGACCTGACCTAATGCACACCAGAGCCCTACTGGATGCGGCTCCCTGTGCCCAGGGACAGATGAGGGCCCTGGGGTCCACACCCAGGCTGCCCTGTGTGTGGTAAGCGGTGGGGACCGCTCGCATCCAGGTCACAGGACCGACCCCCCAGTTCTGCCTGCTGCACCCACACTGCCGCCTCAGCACAGCTTCGCCCCGAGGCTGCCGGCCCAGGCACTGCGCTCTGTGCACCCCGGGAGCACAGCAGCACCCTGAGTGCCAGGAGGAGACACCCCGGTCCGGTCCGGTCCGGTCCGGCTCTCCTAAGGCAGAGGGCCACCACCATTGCAAGTCCAGCCGCGGTGCCCGCCCTCAAGTGCACCCACTAGGCTGCCGACTGTGGCGGAAGTGCCCTGCCCTCCGGAGAAGCGTCCCCGAAGTGCGGGCCTGGGACCACCTGTATCTAAGCCGTCGGCATCGCCTGCAGCAGGCGGATTCCCGGGCCGCGGCACAGAGTGCGGACCACAGAGTCCGCGGCGGGGGTGGGAGTCCGCCGGCGGACCCACTTTGAGAAGCGCTGCTCCGGGGACTCGCACTTCTCCCTCCAGGTGGGAAGGAGGGAAGGGGCCGGGACACCAGGAAGCCCGCCGGAGTCTCCCCGAGGCCCGGCTCTCACAGATTCCGCTCCCGGCCCGAGCCCACGGCCCAGGCCTCCCGTGTGATCCGCGCGGCCCGGGCCCTTTCTCGGGGCGCCCAGCCGCCTCCCGGGCCCGCGGCCCACCCGGAGCCCAGATCCTCCGCTCGGGCGAGGCCGGGTAGGCGGTCTCCCCGACTGACCTGCGGCCCGCGCGGCCTCGGCGCCGCCGCGGGACACTGTGGGGCCCCACTCGGAAGGGAGAGCCTCCTCCGATGCTCCGCAACTCCGGGAGCAGCGCGGCCCTAGTGGCGCCCTCGTGCGGCCCCGCCCGGCAGCGACGCCCGGGACACCCCCACCCCGCCCCGCCCCCGGACTGGTCCCGCCCAGCCAGAGCCCCGCCCCCGGATTGGTCCCGCCCAGCCAGAGCCCCGCCCCCGAATTGGTCCCGCCCAGCCAGCGCCCCGCCCCCGGATTGGTCCCGCCCAGCCAGCGCCCCGCCCCGGGACTGGTTCCCCCCCCCCCCCCGCTGGCTCTGGGCGAGGGGAAGGCGTGAGTCAGGGGTCTTGGTACAACCTCTGGGAAAGGAAAGGCCGGCAGAGACACGGGCTGGATGTCGGGGGACGGTCTTGTCCGTCAGCAGCTGCTTTTAAATATGAAGAAAACACCGAAAGTGCTAATAGTTATAATGAGTTAGGTTTTAGAGTTAGGTTTTCGCACCCCTACATGAGGGCCCGTCCCTCCAAACTGGGCTGCTCATTGCCAAGATTTGTGAACATATTGCACTTAGATACGCCCATTCGGTAGTATTTGGAGTTTGCAAAGCTTTTCCACACAGAGCATTCTTGCTTCATATGTGAGGCAGCCCTATATTTTTATTCCCGTTACAGCCAGCAAAATTGAGGCAGGAGCAACACTAATTGAGCATTTCTGTACACCTGACATTCTTCCAAGCCTTTGTGTGTACTATTTCATTTTCTCTTTCATTTCCCAGCTTCACCATACATTATGCAAAAGACTGCTAGGTATTTCAAGAAGGATAAAACACAGTCCTGTTTTCAAGGTACTTCCCCAGAGTCCGTAATAATTGGTTCCTAATTCCTCTGGGTCTTAGAAGGGAATAAGCCAATGAGCGGTACACCCATCTACCCCTCAGATATTAATAGTCGGGTGAGAGATGGAAGGCTTATCCAACCTATAATTATTGACCACTAGCTATGGACTAAGCACTGGGAGTGAAGGACTTACTATGACAATGTCCCTGACCCATGACATGGTTTAATATTACAATTCACAATGATTATACCATAGTTATAAATTCTATTCACCAAATAATTCAGCAACACGTGTATAAAGCAAAAAAAAAATCATAGGACATTTAAAGAAACATTGATAGAAATACACTAGTAGTGGGAAAGTTTAATATGTCACTTTTAGTACACCAGACTAGTCAATAAGATAGATCTTATGGATATACATACTTTATACCCTGAAAATAGAGAATACGATAGTAACAACGAAGATAAAATGTTGTTTCAGAATGAAGTTTTCAAGAAATGTGCAAACCTTATATGAGAAAAACGTGAAAGCACCCTTGAAAGTACAAAAATGGGCTTGAACAAATGGAAAGATATTCCATAACATAAACATATCCATTTTCTCTAAGGTAATTTATAAATTTAACAAATACCAATAAAAATACCAACAAGATTTTTATAGAGCTAGACAAGTTGACATTAAAATTCATATGGAAAAATAAAAATTCAAAAATAGCCAGGAAAACAGGAAAAAGAAAAGTTTATGAGGGGAAGCTAGCCCTACCCGTCATTAAAATACACTATAAATCTGGCTTGTTTATCTACTCATGGCAACTGGTGAGCGAATAGGCCAATAGACCAGTGGAATAAAATAGAAAGTCCCAGAAATACTATATACCTAAATGCATATGAAAATGTAATATGTGATAAACATAGTATCTCGAATTACTTGGGAAAAGATGGGCAATTTAGTAAGTATTGGTAAGGCAACTGGCTTGCATTTGGAGAAAGATAAAATTAGAACCAAGTTTCACGCTGTAATCAGGAATAAACTCCAAATGGGCCATGGATATAAATGTCAAAGATGAAACCGTGTAAGTACTAGGAGAAAGTATGTATGATTTTCTCTTTAGTCCGCTGTAGGAAAAGACTTCCTAACTATGACTCAAAATTCAGATCCAACAAACAATAAAGTTGCTGAATTTGACTATGTCTTAAAAAAAAAACTTTTGAACAACAAAAAATAAGCAAAGATCAATTACTAACCCGAAAACACTTTCCCCTTCACACACATATACATTTCTCACACATTTCTCAAAAATATGAAAAGATGTTCAAATTCACTTACAAGTGAAATGCACATTAAATCTACTCTGATAATACACCTCCAAAAGTATGACAAAGTTAGACATTGTGGTATGGGTGGAAGTGGAGCTCTTGGGGTGCTGTGGGGAAAAGAGTTTCCTGAGGTCCCCACCGTGGATGTGTTTTTGTGGAAAGCTTTATAATGTAAAATTAAGGGGGTTGCCCTTCGAGGTCCCATCTCTGTCCATCCCACCATGGAAGCAGTCCAGTCTTGTCTGCAGCAGGCCAAACTAAAAACCAATCTCCAGAGTTTCTGCTCCATATTAAAGTATGTCCAGTCCAACATCCTGCCTGTGGAGTCTGCATGGCCATGGCTCACGCAGCTGCTTAAGGCCACATGGCGGGGCCAGTGCAGGTCACAGAGCAAGAGAGCACAAGAGCAAGCAAGCAGACAAGAGAGGCTGAACCCTTTATTTGGAGATTTTAACCTTCCAAGAGTTCATGCTCTTGCCAATGATCTTTTTCCCAGGCTAGACTGACAGCCAAGCACCATCCCTCCGTCACCCAACTTCGCTGCACATGTGCCCATCTCCCCCTTGGTTCCATCCCTTCCCCAGTGATCTGCAGGGAGTGGACCCGTAGTTCCCTGGGGGAGGTGAAGCTGCCCAGATGGCCATGCTTCTAATGTCTGGCCTCCCCCCTTTGCTCTCTTCCTGTTGTTAATATTGATAAGCTAGCTAATTGCCATGATAACTGTTAGGGTCATTGAAGGAGGAACACATGAGGCCAAAAGGGGTAAAGAATTATACATTTACTAGAGGCCCGGTGCACAAAATTTGTGCACTGGGGGAGGGTGGTCCCTCGGCCCAGCCTGTGCCCTCTCGCAGTCCAGGACCCATCTGGGGATGTCTGCCTGTAGGCCTGCTCCCTGCAATCGGATATTCCTCTCGCAGTCCGGGAGCCCTCACCCCTTACCACCTTGGTAGCTGCTCCTTAGCGCTACCATGGAGGCAGGAGAGGCTCCCGCCACCGCCGCTGTGCTAGCCAGCCATGAGACTGGCTTCTGGCTGAGCGGCGCTCCCCCTGTGGGAGCACACTAACCACCAGGGGGAAGCTCCTGTGTTGAGCATCTGCCCCCTGGTGGTCAGTTCACATCATAGCAACCAGTCGTTCTGGTCTTTCCGCCATAACAGTCACTTAGACTTTTATTATATAGGTTAAGTAATCTGGGAAACCAAATGGGCTGAGCCCCAAAATGGCACCAGCACCCAGGAATGGGGAGGCAGGGGTTTTAAAGGACTCTAGGTGGGCTTTTTCTGGGCGGAGAATTCTCTAGGTGGGTCCGGATCCTGGAAAGGTCTGGAGGGGAAGGATAATGAATGGTCTTAGCAAGTGGAATGTGGTCTAAGCAAAAGGGAACGTCGGTTGTGAAGTGGTCTAAAGTACAGGCCCAGAGGAAGGGGTAGCGATTCAATATTTGATCAGACCTAATAATAACAATTGTAGTATTGTTTGCAATTGCAAAATATCAGAGGGAAAAAAATAAATTTCTATAAATAGGAGAGTATGTGAATAAACGATGACACAGACATAGAATGGAGTATTATGAATCCGTAAAAAAGAATGAGGTCATTTTCTATGAATTAATGTAAAGTGATTTCTAGGATACTTTTTAAATGACCAGCGGGAAGTTTCTGTCACTGGTGCATCTGGGGGTGGAGAGGTGGTGTCAGTTTCAAGCCAGGCAGCTACAGTGACGGCCTGAGTCAGATGGAGTGGAGGACCTGTTGGACTCTGAGCACGACCCATGATAACAGTCAAGCTCCAGGGTCGAACTGTCCGATCTCTGAGTTCTCATGGCCCAAGACAGACAGCGGTCCCACTCATGTGAGTGTCCAGACTTGGGTTTTGGGCATTCCGGGCCCCTCCCAAGGGCATTCCCATTACACGCATTATCTCAGTCTTGGGCATATTGCCACTTAACATACAGGTAAATGTCATGGCTGACAGTGACTCCATATCAGATTGGAAAAGTCTGCTCTGCTCTTGCTCTATACACAGGCTGCACTGGTAGCATGACTGTGGCTCAGTCCTTCTCCACTGCCAAGGCCCCCTCATTTTTGCTTGTTTTAAAGCCTCTATTTCTATCCTCTCCAGAAATGCTTTAAACTACCCATGGTCCTTTTCTGTGTCTATCGGTGCAATTCAACCTGCCAGAGCAATACAGATGATCAGATCAGATGGTTTAATGAAATGTAAGTCCACTATTTCTACTTTATTAGTTTATTGATTTGCAGTGTGTCTTCTATTTGGCTCCTATTCAGGGAAGACATTTCTTGGATGACTTTTGTTTTAGTCATGCTGAGATGTTAAAGGAGCTTTTTGCTGTTGTGCTGTTTGGCAGTAGCCTTCCTCTTTCCTCCCCTCTACTCCTTTATTAGTGTGGGGAGTGTGGGTAGGATAATCAAATTTTAATGGACCAGACTCTACCTTTAGATAGAGGAAATCAGGAAACTAACGAGTGTAAGAATAAAGGAAAATGAAGGGAGAAAAGCAAAATCAGTTCCTTGTGTCAGAGAGTATCACCACAGAACTGTGAGCTCATTTCATTTCATTGGTTTATTTTATAGGTAAGGAGGTTGCGACTAAGAACATATCGATAATGTGTATTCAAGATATGAATAGCTGCATCTTCACACTCCAAGTCCAGGGCTCTTGCCTCTATCCGTTATACCAAGACCCAAGTGACCTGAAAGCAAGCTGAGATCAGGTTAAATTAAGCAGCCTAATTAATTATGCTTTTTAAGTTTATGGTTGTATATGATAAGAATTCACATTTTCAAGAGTTTTTGTAATTTAAAAAGCTCTTGGTTCATGAAATTCTCTCAACTGCTTTGGGATAAGATAATGAGCACTTT